CACACCCTTATTGGGTATATGTCAATGATCCAATCCTTGGATCCCATATATAAGCATCAACTATGGAAACATTTACTTTTTGGTATGATAGCTCATAGAATAACCTAGCCACCGGCCATACTGGATAGTGTACAGTATTTTGTAATTGTAGTCTAAAAAAGTAACTATTCCAATCTCTATCAATCAGTGAGTACTGATATTCACATAATTTATCTGGGATTGTTAACACATGGACATCAACGTTCAACAACTCAACATACTACTTATTTATCCTAAACTGGAAACAGAAACTGGAGATAAAGAAAACCTGCTTCAAAGTCATGGATATACTACATACAGTACATCAGTGTAAGCAATTATACTCTTTTCCTCTAGTTACTTACTATATTCCGATATGCCTATCATCTCATCTTGTGTTATTGATTCCACTGTAATCCAAAGACGTGTCTCTCTTCAGTGCCTCTGAAATATTTAATGCAAGGCACTCTTTCTTTCTCTTTCTCCCTGCCTCCTTTAGATTGAATGTTCCAGTATATCAGACTACTCTGAAAAAATTATCAAGGCAAACCACTTGGACCACAGTAAGATATGTTTAAGGCAATTGGTTACGTACTGCTTTTGATTAGTTTCTCCTTACTTAATTTGCATATCACTAACATATGCTTCTTGGGTTTTGATTATCTGTGATTTATTTATTATTATTATTTATTTATTTTTTGGAGATATATACACTCATGAACACATACAGTGGTGCCTCGCTTTATGATTGCCCCGCATTACGATAAAACAGTATTCCGACGATCTTTTTGCGATCTTTTTGCGATCGCAAAATGATGGTTTGAATGGTTTTTTTTCGCTTTGCGATGATCGGTTCCCTGCTTCGGGAACCGATTCTTCGCGAAATGATGATTTTCCTCCAGCTGATCGGCGGTTTCAAAATGGCTGTGGGTAAATAAAATGGCTCCCCGCTGTTTTCTGGGACAGATTCCTCACAAGACAGCCACCGAAAATGGCCGCCCTATGGAGGATCTTCGCTGGACGGTGAGTTTCCAGCCCATTGGAACGCATTGAAGGGGTTTCAATGCGTTTCAATGGGCTTTTTATTTTCGCATTACGACGTTTTCGTTCTACAGCAATTTCGCTGGAACGAATTAACGCCATAATGCGAGGCACCACTGTATTCAGAACTTTAAAACATCTGGCAGCAATTCAAGGTTATAATTTTAGTAATGATCTTCCAGAAGCAATAAAGTATTTCCTTTAGAACTGTTCAAATTGATGTTTTTGAACAACAGTGTCACACACACCCAGTTCCCCTGTTTGTTCTTTCCCACAACCCAGGTTCACTTTTGGGTATGCTATTTACTTTTCAACCCTTTCCGCTGCCACCAGAGGACTTATTCCTCAATATATCATATATCACTCTTAAATCAGTGTTAATAAATAAAATAATGTTTATTTAAGTGTTTATAAGTAAATCATGTAAAGTAAATCATGGATGGTCTTATTTTATTCATTCAATCAACTGTGCTTTGGTAACATTTATGTTTGCTTAGATAGAATCATTTTTAATCAAGGTGTTTATTCATTTCTTTTCTCATTTCCTATCTCTCTATTACTCTTCACTAACACAAGGCTGGTCCTAATTGCCTAAATTGCTTTTCTCTAACACCAGTCCCTAACTCTTCCCTAACTGACTCCAACTCAGACTCTAACTGCTCTTTAACTGTCATCCATTCTCTTATATATCCCTAGTCCCGCCTTTTCTGTACAGCCATTGGCTCCTGAACCAGGGTTCCATTGTGATGGACAGGAGTGGTTCTTGACCTGTCCGTCACATACCTCCCCCCCTGGAAAAGTTTGTATCATGGGGGTGAACTCTACAGTGATTTACCTTCATGTACAACATATGAGAGAATTAAATTTTTTCAATATATAAACCTTCTTTAAACATAGAACAGTTATACCTTTTATATTTTTACATTTTCTCTATTACCTCTTTTAAACTTTTTTTTCCATTTTACTTTTCATTATATGTACAGTATCGCCATTTTATTTACTTATATCATTACACATTGAACACTTCTTATGCTATACAACTTACATTTTAAAATATGTTTTTCCATTTCTTTTACATTTTTTCCATGCAATTATAACATTTTAATTTTGTCATCAATTTTAACACTACGTTGCATGATACATTACTACATTGCAAAACATAACCAGAACCTTTTACAGTTTCTCTTCTAATATTTGTTATTATAAGTTTTTTTCCCCAGTCTTCTTGTGCAGCTTCTCATTGCTTTCTGTTATCTGTTGGGTCTTCGAGACCATACATCTGCAATCTTATTTTGAGTCTCTCTTTTGCTTTGGATTTCATCAGCAAAGTCTTTCAGATTTAGTGTCCCTCTTGCAAGTTGGTTGATTTTATGTTTCACAGTTCGCAACCTCACATAAAGTTTCTTTCTTTGCAATGCCCAGTCAATTAACCCCTTCCAGTTGCCAATTAAATGTCTCTCACATGCTCGGTCTTTCTTGTTGTCCACCTTGCTCTGCATGGCTCCTGGTTCGAATCCTGCCACAGCGATGATGTTGAAGACACTCTGGAACTCTGGACCTCTCATGACATGAAGACGTCTCTTGACATGACCTCTCTGGATACGACGTCTCTGGACACGACCTCTCTAGATACAATGACCTCTCTGGATACTACGCTGACTTTTCTTTAATATAGTCTGCAGCTTTTCCAGGGTCTCTTTACATCTGCTCAACCACTGGATCTTCTTGTCTTTTCTTTTGGCTTTTATAATTTTTAAAGGAGAGGCTATACATCTGGCATTTCTTTCCCCACACTGAGTATAGCCTGCTATCCTTATCATAGCTTTCACTCTATCCTCTTTTATTTTTTCTATGACTAGAGTAAATTTATTTAATACTCATTGCATTTCCATTTTGTCTACCTGATTAATTTTAGATACAGCTTTATCTAGTTCTATTTCTTTATTCTTAAATTTCTTAGATAGGATTTCTTGTTGATTAGTTTTAGCTATGGGTGCAGACACAGAATGATCATCCTTTTCAGTTAGCTGTATCTTTTCCTTAGATACTACTTCTGCTGACTTCAATTTACTTCCCTCTAAAGTTTTCAGTTTCACCATCTCAGGGTAGCATGATGTTTCTTGATCCTCATGTAAGCTTTCCTCTTTTTCAGGAGTTATCACTAAGGAGTTTTCTTTAGTTGCAAGATCTTTGTTTGCAAAGATTTTCTCAGGACTTTCAGAGAATAATAGGGTGATATCTTGAAACTCTTTTAACCAATCCTCTAAGCTATTATTCTCCTTCATCTCCTGGTTAAAACTTTCATTAGGCTTTCTAATACCTTTACAGCTTTCTTCTACCCATTTATTTCTCTGGACTCTCTAGTAAATTTTTTTCTCACCCACGTTCTCTAGTTACTGTAGTGGGTGTGTTCTGGCTATCTTGCAAGCTTATATATATATGAAACCACCTTTAACACATCTCATCTTATTCCAAACCTCTTTTTCAACTCCAGACATCTCTCTGTAATCAAAAGGGATATCCATTTGTTTGTTGATATTTCTATCTGTAAAGAATCTTTCGGGATTCTGAACTTACTGGTTCTTTTTTAACTGCATTACAAGATTTTTTAACTGCATTACAAGTAAAATCATTTTCGTGTTCTGGTTTAAAACTCCTTTTCTGAGACTTTATTATATCTGTGCCTCCTATAAGTTCAGGTGATTGGCTGACACTTATAACTTCTTCAGGAACCTCAGTATTTTCATAAAGATTTTCTATCTTTTCTGTCTGTGAGTGTGTGGTGATCACAACAGTCTTAATATAATTAATCAAATCTAAACCAATTAAACAAGGCGTATGGATCTGAATTGAAACAGCTATTTTAAATTTACCAGCCCACCCTTAATACTTTATATGTACTTCAGCTGCTAGTGGCTTAATCACTTCTGTCCCAATTCCTTTAACTGAAATTTTCTCATTTGGAATGATATCTTCCTGTGGAATAATATCTGTATGGCATATAGTTATCTGAGAACAAGAATCTCTCAATGCTAGATATTTGATATTATTAATATAAATCTTTTCTCCAGATGACTTCATCAGTTCCCTGTTAGTGTTAATGTAATAGCAGTGGACTATTTCTGCTAGAGGAGGCAGTTGCTCCTGCTTCGCTGCATCAGTTAAACTGCCATTCTGGTTTATCTC